CACTTGGGAGCTGCTTTTCACTGGTTCGGAGCATCCAAGCAGAGTCTCTGCTGCCGGGTCTCTCTCGATGTGGAAACTGCTTCCCAAGCGCGCACACAGCACAGCTGTTTGCCTGCTTCACTAGGGACCTGCCTGGCTGCAGCGCTGCAGTTTCGCTGCTGCCGCTCCGGCACTCTTCACTTCTTCTAAACCATCTCCCTCTCCTCTATCACTTGGACGGATTCCTCAACTTTGCCTTGTTCAGGGCTCCTAGATATTCATATAGAATCACATCACTTGTTTTTCCAGGTCTTTGTTGTAAGAGGGATATAGCAAGCATCTAACTACTCCGCCATGTTGGCCACGCCCCCTGTTCTTCTCTTTGAAGTTTGAGTTTTTTATTATCATAGTTGCCATCACCATCACCATCTTCATTAGCATCATCATCAACATCCAATAAGCCCACACTTTTGAGCAACTACTTAGTGGATAATATTGTTGTAGTTGTCACAGCTGGCACATTAGACTTGTTGTGCTATAACTGACAGGTTACCAAAGCAAGGAAAGAGGCTTCACCTGCCTTCAGAGAACTTAAATGTCTGTAAGGGGAGACAACACATCCTGACAGGACACATCTGTTTGCACACACATAAAATAGAGAAAAACAATTATGTATGTGAACTTACTGTGTAGTTGAGGAAAATACAGTGGCCATAAGGATGTCAGAAAGCAGGCAATGTGAAGATCATTAATTCCAGAGTCTATCTTGTTCCTGTGAGGGAAATATAACCAGGTCCTTTTTCTCTTCTTTTTGTCTCCCTCTTGTTTGCCTCAGACTGATTGAAGGAAAGAAGGGGGTCAAAGTGGAAAACAGACCATTCCTCTCGAAACTCATCTTCTACAATGTCTCTGAGCATGACTACGGGAACTACACTTGTGTGGCCTCCAATAAGTTGGGCTACACTAATGCCAGCATCACACTATTTGGTGAGACTGAGCCCCGAGCTGGGCAGTCAAAGGGGCTGGGTGTGGAGAGGGGTGGGGGGAGGGGAGGTGTTGGGACAGATGGTACAAAAAAGGAAGTATCAGAGAATAAAAGTTAGGCAGAGGTGAGTGAGTGAGAAGAATGAGTAAGAGGAGAGAGAGGGAGAGAAGTAGTGTCTGTGTAAAAGTAGACACTGGGAGGGGGAAAAGGGAACTGCACTAGAATGTTCATGCAAGTGTTTCATTTTATGGGGAAGATCCTCAAATAGGAAAAAGAACTTTGGGATGACATTTACTTTTTTTTTCTTCAGTGATAGCCCCTAAGTTGGCTTTGGGAATTATAACTGGTATAATGGCAAAGAGACCAGAGAGGAACATTTTCTATTTCAATTCTTTGTTTACTGAATCAGTGTAAAATGTTCTCTTTTCCAGCCATTGAGACATAAGAAAAACTGAATTGTATTTATAAAAATGATTCATGGGCCTTAGGATCCTGAATAATACTTCAGAAGGAGAATAATAGAGCAATGGGATTTGCTGAGCTCTCCTTATGTCAGAGGGTGTGGTCTACCATCTTGGCAGATCCACCCATCTATACACGCATCAGTTCATTAAACAAACATTTACTGAGGGACAATTGTGAGGCAGGCAAATGCTGTGCCTTCATCATGCATCTTGCAGCTCTATTGATAGCTGAAGCATGTAATGAGAACTGCCTTCTAGACCCCTGGTTGCCTGTGTTCCTGTGAGTGGAGTGACTCCACAGAAGTCACCCTGAGGAGCTGTGTCATCAGGCAAGGCTTCCGGGGATCTGGTGCTTGTCCTCACCCTGGAAGAAGTGGATCCTCCCACAGGCCACATGATTCATTTCTGATGACCTTTTGGGCAAGTCCCTCTGTACCCCACCAAGATCAGTAATCTCAGGACTTTTCAAATCAACTCCTCTAGTCCCCCATGTTAAACAAGCATTCATGTATGTGAGGGTGGGCTGGGGGATTAGGAATTTAGCAGATAATTGGCAAAATGAAAATTCCTTTATTCTGGGAACACCTCAATAATCCCATAGCTTCCCAGTGCCCCAACCCCTGCCACATGCCTGCCACAGACAGCACAGCGCCTTCAGCTTGCACTGAGTAATCAGCCTGGACCGCTCCATCCTTCACTCCCTGCTTCCAGGCACACCCGCAGCCTGTGCGCTGCACATAAAGTGAAGCCCAGCTTTAACTAGAGGCCGGAAAGGTGAAGGCGACCCTGATCCCAGAGCTGGTACTCAGAATGGGCCGAGCTGTGATGGGAGAGATTGATCTGCCTGACATCTCTCACACACGGATAGTCGTAATTGCCCCTCACATTTGTCAGACTTTCTTTGCTTTTTGGCAGATGTCTGTCTGCATGTACTGAAGGCTCAGGTTAGCAAGGAGTGCCCCCTTCTTCCCTGGCCCTGCAGCTATGGTTCTCTCTGGTTGTCCTCCACCCTTCCCAAGTCCTGCCCCCCACCCACAGCAGTCCTCGTTCCTGTAAACAGTCTTCCTTCTCCTGTGACCTCATCTTTCTTCTGATTTGGATGCATGAAGGGCTTTTGCAATCGGCTTTATCACTGCTGTCTAATTCCCTGGCCTCTTTCTCTGAAGTCATCTCAAGATGAGAATAGGAAGAAACAGCAAACTTTTTTTTCCTTTTAGGAGTGAAATAACGTATTTGTGACAAGGAAAGCAGTGAGACGTGTCATAAATCTGCTCTTTTCATCAGACCCTTGTGTGGCAGTTAAAATCTCTGTTCCCCCCACCCGCATTGGTCTGCTGGCGTTCACACGAGGGCATCATGTGGGACGTCCCTACCTATCCTGTTTTCAGGAGTCCAGAGATAGTATATCTTCTAATAAGTTTAGGAAAGATTGGGTCAAACAAAAATAAAAAAGATATGTGTGGGAATTATCTTTAATACAGAAATTCTTGGAGCCTTCACCTTGCTAAATCTCAAGAAAGAAAGTTTGCAACATTTTCAAATTTATTCACCTCAGAAACTATCTTTTCACGTCAATTGAGAGACTATTTCTGAGGAGCATCTCATAGAAATGTTCCGTTGGTGTCAGAGTTCCATGGGATTAGTGAAACCGAGCTGATGTGCAGAATGGGTGTTTCTAGCCCTTCTGCTCTAGCCTGGGCTAATCTGAACACTGTTGAGGGCCCTCCACTCATCACTGAGGCTCACCATTGATGAGGCCTTTTTACAAATATGAATCTGCAGGGAATTTTCCATTATTAGAAAACTCCTCAGCTCAGAGGCATCAAGCCGACTTGATCAGGAAGATAAGCAGCGTTTATTGACGGGAATACATGAATTTAGTGATGAAGTTCATTCTCCTGTAGAAGGCCAGCTAGATTATAGTCATTTCGCCACCAAATTGCCCACAAACTACACCCTCTGTCCACTTGACCTGGACATAGCCATGGGAGAATGGTTAGTGCTGGGAGACTGATGTCATGGTCAATATCATTGAGGGTACTCATGTAAAACAGGAGCAGGGAGTAGGGCCCTTCCTATCATGAACCAATAGGAGTTTTGAGCACCTGTCCACTGAGATTGCAGAGATTACAGGGGACTTCAAAAGGTCTGCTTTCATAATCCTGGATCACAGTGGTTCTGGGAACCTTGCCCCTTCCCTGGTGTCGTGGGATCAGGTTCTTGAACATGCTCTCCCAAGGTGAAACACAGGCTGGGTGCATGGTAGAGAAATTTCAGCTGGAAAAGAGGTGTTTGTCCTTTGTTCCCAAATCCATACCTCAGCTCAGCACAAACTAAGAGTAAACCCATCTGCACTAGACAACGTGCAGAGTGGCCAGCTCCCTCACTGCCCAACTGCTGCATCCAAGAATGGAAACAGAAAGCACTTCAGTGTTTTTCATGCTCACCTTGTCTCTCACCTTTGGTTTTTGTATCTTCTTTTATTTATCCATTCCTCCAGAAATGTTTGTGAAGGCAGTATACAAACTATATATGACAAATATATAGGTGCTGTATATAATATACATGTTTGTTTTCATTTTTCTCTTCCATATGTCCCTCACCTGATTTAGAACTAAATGAGCCTACAAGCTCAACTTTGTTCCAAGGTCAGTATTCCCTTGCTTTATGTTTTCTCTCCCCTCCCTCTACCCCAGAACCCCAATCCCCTCCCTCTCCCCTGCTGTGCATCACCTGAGGCTCCCATCTGTAAAGCTGCTTGAGGGGTGGCAGTGGAAGGTTATCCACAGAGGTTACTGGAACTGGTGAGACTCCAGGGAAGCTCACTTCTCTCTGTTTATCCCTTGCCCACACTTCCCCAGGAGGGCTGGGGGGAGAAAGGGAAAGAAACTATCCCTAAAATCTCCAATCCAGAAATCAGTGTGACAGTGAAAGGTTGAATGAATGAGTATGAACCTATAGGGAAACAACTCCATCACACTGAGAAGTTTTTATTACAAGAGTCCTATTGATGGCCCCTCAGCAATACAATCAAACTCATGTACATAACAGTTCAAATATTCCATAAAATGTATCAACTGGTTCACAACTAAGTTCTCTTAGGGGAGAAGAAGAGAGGGTGTAGCCTGCTGGCCATCAGTAAGCAATGATGGACAGTGGAATGCCACAGAGTTCTGGTTTAGATCCTGTCACTTAGTTCTGTACCCATGCGAGTCACTCAACCTTATTTAGACTCACTCGCTTCCTCTACAAAACGTAATTGATGATTCTTGCTTTATCTACCTTACAGAGTTGTTAGACTTTCACTGAGAACACATATCTAAAAGGCTTTGAAACTATTAGATGCATTTGAATCACTAAAGTCTAATCTCCAGATCAAGCTGAAAGATAGACTTCCCTCAGTATAACGTTATAGGGTTCCTTACCTCATTTCTCAGCCCCCTTTCATTCTCTTCCACTTCAAGCCCTTCCCCTTTCTGACTCCTACAGATCTTGCCTCTCTTTGCACAGCCCTTCCAGATTTTCTCAAGGCCCACTAGCCTAACAGGAGTGATTCATGAAGACCGTGACTAAGTATTCAGCCTAAAGGAGCCAGGGCAGAGTAGTAGAAGAAAAGGTGTACTGCATGAGCATCATTAGCTATCATGAGGACAGTGCTCATGAGAGCAAGAGCACAGCAGAAAGGCAGCAGTGAGGACAGTGAGGGGTGAGGCTTCACCCACCTTCCTCCCACCCCTGACCATCCCCATCCCACTGCACCCAGAACCCACCCTGCTCCTCCCTAACACTCTGTACACACACTCATTGGAAGATAGCATGAGATATGGAAGGTAGGAGAGGAAATGGAAGGAAATGAATTGTATGGGAAACTGTTTGACAGATGAGGAAAATACTTTTATCATGAAAAAAATCAGGGCTGCATTATTTACCTTAGTGATATGTAGTAGCCTGGTGATGAGCCATGAATAGGAAAGTGCAGCACAGCAATGGAAAGAAAAAAAAAAAGTGAAGTCAATGGAAGCATTCAGATTCAACTTATGATTCAACTTATGTTTATTGAACCCCTGTGCTAGGCATATTCACAGAACTAAAATAGAGAGCATTAGGCAGTAACTAACATAAACGATAGAAGAGAGTACAAGAGACAGAAGCTGGGGCAGATGATGCTACAGGATATGCTTTCAGAAGTTACTTGGCTAATCTTGCACTTAGATAGGTCTTCATTCTCAGAGCAAATGGGAGATTTTAAAACTGGCAGCAGTTTCCAATGAACTAGTATTTAACTGAAGGTGTACTCAGATGATGCAGGGACCATAATCCCACACCAAACCAAACAACAACAGAAACAACCAAAGTGGAAGAAAAATAATTTTGCTTGGCCTCAGAGCATGGAGTTAGGCAGGAGACTTTAGTAGCAGACTCAACCCTGCTGAGAAAAAGCTGGGCTGGGCTGGCTTTCTCACTCCCCTCTGCTTGGAAGTGAGGACTCTGAGTGACATGATCACTATGTCACCTTTCTGCTCTGGTTTCTGAACATGCCCAACCCTTACCCTGTAAACCTCCCCACTGGGAGCAGTGTGAGTGGGTCAGGCTGGGAAGTTGTAGGCTGTAGACACCTGGAACCTTCAGAGACTTGGATTAGTGTGGCCTTCACTGTAGCTACTGGACTCCTTTGTACAGCTTGGAATATTTTAGGGAAACAGACTTTGCACTTAGAGGCATTTACGTCATTCAGCTGTGTTCATCGTTTTTTCTCCTCCTTTGCTAGTGTTGAATGGGATATAACCAAAAAAGAACGGAATAGAACCAAAAAGTACAGTTGTCATTGAGTAAATTCCAACTCATGGCGACCCTATGTGTGTCAAACTCTGCTCCACAGGATTTTCAATGGCTGAGTTTTTCAGAAATAGATCACCAGAACTTTCTTCCAAGGCTCCTCTGAGTGTATTCAAATCTGCAAACTTTTGGTTAGTAGCTGAGTGCTTAACCATTTGGGTTACCATGGAATGGACTAGAGAATGACCTATATCCTCAGGTAATACCCCCAAGTTAAGCTCATAGAAGTCAGACATATGAATGCAGGATTTTCACTGGTAGGAACCACTTGACTTTAAGAGAAGTTCAAAGTTATTTTGCTACCAATATCTGGATGGACTAGAAGGACTTTGATAAGAGAAATTTGTTCTCCTCAGCATTTTCTGTGACCCTTGAAATATTTCTCTGCCCCTCTTTTGCAAACACAACAGACTGCGTGTCGGCATCTGGTGTTAACATGTCGTGGTGCGGGACTCACCATGATAAAGAAGGACTCAGGCCTGCACTACCACTCCTCAGGGACCTTTTGCAGTGTCAAGTGTGCCTGCCTGCACTGCAGGCTCAGCGGCTGCATCTTTTATCTCTGAGGCATTGAGTTGGATTTGATGCTATCAGTGGGAAAGTCAGCTGATTATTGCCTGTGAACCTCACAGTGACCATCAAACCAATTTATTAAAGAACGTAAAGAACAGGAGACTAAAGTAAGCTCTGTATATCAGGAGGAAACAAGGGTGGCAGGTGATCCATCCCTCCCCACAGAGGATTAGAGATGGTTAATTAAGTCTGGTAATCCTAGTTAGCATTTCTGTGGCACATGAGTCTAAGTAACAGAACGCATAAAAGCAAAAACAAAATCACTTCATCCTCCTAGAAGGTTTGTATTTCCTGATATGAAAGCAACCCTCAAACCTTTCCTCCTCTGCCCAGCAGAATCAGACCCCAGTCCCGTGCTTACCTAGGGACTTGGAATCAGCTACAAGTATTGGCTTTGGTGACAAGAAGATGGACTTATTTTAGCAGTGGTACCTAGATGAGGCAGTTCATGAACAAGCCACTTCTTAGTTCTGGACTGGTTTCTAGGCCACAGCAAGCACTCCAAGCAACTGTCCTTCCTAACACTCAATGCACAGACATGGCTCCATCACCGCTAGCTTTCTCTACCACCCTGGCTTTGCATCAGATCTTCTCTGAATCAGAAAAAGTTTCATCATGGCTCACCCCTTAAAGCATTATTTCTCCAGGGTGGCTTCTCAGGGCTGCTAACGTCCTCTTAAATCAAGAGGGACATCATGTCTCAGGTGCTTTTAAAAATTCATTTGAGAGTTGAATGCATTCATCTGATTTCAGGCAAATGTTTTGGTTGAGTTTAGGTTGAGTTACATGTAGATTTTCTTTCCTTCTCTATATAAGGACCTTTACAGAGAGAACGTAGACTCCCAATGTATTACCTGAATGCAAACGGCTTTGCTGCCACCTTCTATCCTGTCTGTGCCCAGAGTGAAAAACAGGAGTGACTCCTGGCTGACGAAGGAAATAAAGGATTATAGATCACCACACTGCAGGCCAGACAGGTCATGTGCCGTCAGCAGCAAAAGTGAATTTACTCTGATAGCTTGAAGTTGGTGAAGGAAACGGGTCTTTCCTTGTCTAATCAGTGGAGAAGGGCTAGTGTTCTGGCATTTCCACGGAGGGGAGGGACCCAGCAAGTGCAGCTCTGGTGGAACAGATGTGGGTCTTGTGGCCTCAGGTTGCTTCTGAGAGACAAAGCCACACATGGCCGGCATGACACAGTCTGAATATCAAGAGAAGTCAGGTAGTATCTAAGACCCGGGCTCCTCAGCACCATTGTTAAAACATGTAGCTAAATGTCAGCCACGTTTATGTTTGAAACAGCATGAGCACCTAAATTCAAACTTCTGTAGCATACTGTTTTATCAGACAACTTAATATTAAAGCCTGCATGCTTTTAGGGCATAGTCTGGTGACCAGAGGAGAAAAGTTGGTCTACAAAGAAGTAATGGCTGGAGGGCCCCAGGTTCCAAGGGTGTACCTTTGACTCCCTTACTCAGCAAGGTGAATGAGTTGGCTCTGCTCAGGCCAGCAGTCCATTGGAAACATCATTCATATTCCCTCCCCAGTCCCCAACATGTCCCTGTGGCACTGGCTGCTCAGTAAACCAAAGTGAGTACACATTCAAGGGCGGGCGTGGTTAGGGAAGAACAGGGCAAGCACAGGAGGGATGGGGAAGGCCCTGGCCAGGAACACCATCTCCTTCTTAGAAAACCATCTGAGGACAAAGTGCATTACTCCATTTCTGTCTACCTTAACAGCGGCTTGTTTTTCATTTCTTTTAGAAGTGAAAACTACAACCCTGCCCCCTTGGAAAGGTTGGTATATTTCTGCTCAGGTCCTGCTCCCTTGGTGGGGATTGGGTATGCACAATATTTTCTCCTTCCTGCAAATTCCCTTCTTCTTCTCTAAGCTAACGCCAGAAAGCCCCTTCTCCAACCTAACCCCAGGAAGCCACTTCTTCTTCTCTAAGCTAACTCCAGGAAGCCCCTTCTTCTTCTCCAAGCTAACCCCAGGAAGCCCTTTCTTCTTCTCTAAGCTAACCCCAGGAAGCCCCTTCTTCTTCTCCAAGCTAACAACAGGAAGCCCCTTCTTCTCTAAGCTAATCCTAGGAAGCCCTTTCTTCTTCTCTAAGCTAACCCCTGAAAGTGCCTTCTTCTCTAAGCTAACCACAGGAAGTTCCTTCTTCTCCAAGCTAACCCCAGGCAGCCCTTTCTTCTTCTCTAAGCTAACCCCAGGAAGCCCCTTCTTCTTCTCTAAGCTAACCCCAGGAAGCCCTTTCTTCTTCTCTAAGCTAACTCCAGGAAGCCCCTTCTTCTCCAAGCTAACCCCCGGAAGCCCCTTCTTCTTCTCCAAGCTAACAACAGGAAGCCCCTTCTTCTCTAAACTAACCCCAGGAATTCCCTTCTTCTGCAGGCTAACCCCATGAAACCCCTTTGTCTTGTCCAAGCTAACCCCGGGAAGCAGCCCAGTGGGAACTCTCTGATCTTGGGCCATCTCTGTGTCAATTTAGATTACCTCGTCCCCAAGGACACCCCCTTCTCTCTGGGTAGCTTCCACCTGCAGAAGTCTAATTTACCTTGCTGGTTGTACTAATGAGCACCTGTCGGTACCCAGAATAGCTCCGTCCCTGGTCTCCTGAGCACATTACTGCTCTCCTCTTGCACTCCGATGCTGTAATGCAATGATCTCTGAGACCTTGGCCATGCATGCTGCCCTTTGATTACCCCAGTCCCTCTTTCTCTGTCTGTTGCTTGGAGCTGGATAGGAAGTGGTGGGAGGGAGGGAAAGTGGAAGGAAGGGGGAGATTCTTGGATGAGTCACTTTGCTACAATTAAAACACATCTTATTTAAGGCTTTCATTCCTACCAGATGTTTCCGATGGGTAATTGACACTCATCACAGTTTTTTGGGACCCTGACAGTCCTGCAAATTAGTCTCTGTGGCCTCTGCAGCTCCCTAATGAGAGAGAGGTGATGAAGGCCTTGGATGTGCAAAGAGGCGTGGCTGACAGAAGCACGGAGGGCTCGTCCCTGTGTCCTGTGCCCAGGCAGATGTCTGAGCTGTCACTCTGGCCAGCACAGGGTTTTCCAGGGCTCTGCTCACAGGACGACTGGAATCTCACCTTGGAGCCTCCTCCATGTACTGGCGAGGGCAGGATAACCATGTTGGGCAGGCTAGATGCCTGTCCTGTTCCCTCCATCAAACAATGTCCAGGTGGGACGGGCCCCATGCCACCCTCTGTGTTCTCCCATTCTCTGAGTCAGAAGTCAGGGGACCTTGGGAGAGTCACTTAAGCTCTGTGAAGTTCAGTTTCCATGTATTAAAAAGGGGGCTAATAATCTGCATCTGGTAGATGAGGGTCGTTAAGGGGCTGTGTTACCTTTCCAACTGCAAGCACTGTATTTGAAACCCTGGTTGATACAGTTATATTTTCCTCAACCACAAAATTTTCAGTGAATTTTATTGGAAAAAGAAAACAAGGGGGAGAGGCGTTTGGAAAAGAAAGATAAAGCAGAAAGCAAGGTAGAAAAAGAGTTTTTTGCTTTGGTTTGGTTTAGTTTGATCTTTTCTTTTTCTCCCAGTATCAATTATGAGGGAAAATAAACAAAAACAAAAACACAGAGACAAAGGAAATATGGAAATGTCAGCCTGGGTCACCATGTTCTGACTCCGTCCTTCTTTCCTTCAACAATCATTTATTGAATACCTGTCACCAGCCCATTTATACACAGACCTGCCCTTGAGGAGCTCCCAGCAGAAGGGAGGAAATGCATACTTTAGACAGATACAGAGCATTGTAATACAGGGTGTGGCGTATTTTAGTGGGTGGTTGTGTGGTGCTGTGAGTCCATCTGAGAGAGTCAAGGAAAGCTGCCTGGAGAGGGACATGGATGCTGAGCACAGTCCGGAACAAGGAGTGGAGGGATGGGTGGTTCAAGGAGAGGGGCAGGGAAGGAACAAGAACATGGCTAGAGAGTGCATGTGTGAGCGTCTGCATATGTACACGTGTATGCACATGCATGCATGTGCTTATATATGTGCATGCAAGGGTGTGTGCATATGTGCTTGTGTATGTGCGTACGTGCCTGTGTATATGCATGTGTGGGTGTGTGCATGTGTACAGACGTATGCACATGTGGGTGTGTGTCTGAGTGTGCACGGGTGTGTACACGTCTGTATGTGTATATATGTGTTCATATTGTGAATGTGTATGCACTGTGAGCATATGCGTGTGCACGTGTGGATGTGTTGCATGAGATCGGGGGACAACGAGAAACTGCAAGTGACAAGAGGAGAGGCTAAAGGGGCAGATAGCAAGCAGATTATGAAATAGTGTTCCACCAGGAAGTTGAGTTTGTGTACAAGCTGGAGGATTCAGTTTAATTTTAAATTTTAGAAACATCACCCTGGAATTAGCATAAAGAATAAATTGAAGGTCCAAGGACCAACTTGGAAACTTTTGTGGAAATAGAAGGGGGGCTCCCTTCCCTCAGAAAATGTGTGAAGACCTGTGTGGTCCTCCTTCTCGCAGCTCCCTCCAGGCCAGGTGCCCTGGGTGTGCTGAGGGGAAGGGTGCAGGCAGAGTGAGGGAGACCATGGAGGAGTGTGAGGAGAGCAGGCTGGATGTGGCCTTGCACAGTGAGCAGCAGCCCCGCGTGGGGCTGGACAAGCAGTGAGGAGCAGAGAGAGGCCTTGAAAGCTTTCCCAGGATAATAGTACAAGAAAGAGGAGGCTCCAGTTGGCGGGCTCTCCGTGGCCTTTTCTTTCCTTCTATCGCAAGAGTTTTCTGACAGACCAGGTCAGGACCCTCCCTGCAGGCTCTCTGTGATGCTCAGCAGTGGGGGGCAGAGCCATAAAGGAGCTGGAGGGTCTGGCCGTGAGAGGGAACACGGTTTCCAGAGGGAGCACCTGGCTGAGGCATGGGTCATTGTACACATGCAGCGGGCCATGTCCTGCTCACGGCCACTGCTGTGCCATGGAACCTGTGGCAGAGAACAAGTTTTTCAGACTTCTCCATGATGACCATGCCAGTCCCCTGCTGGGCTGTTCACCTGGCTTGTGGCATTCTTCTGCCTGGAGATGCCCTCTGGCTGGCCAACCCTGAGAGGAGGGGACATGGGGAAGAGAAGAGGACCTCTAAATGCTAGAAAGGAGCATGTGTCCCTGTGTCTTTCACCACAGGGTCTTCTTTGTTATGGGGTGGGCTAAAGGGGATGTTGGGATTGAATGGAGAAGTGAATTTCAAAGCTGTGTGTGTGAGTGTTTAGAAGGGAAAAACAAAAGAAAGAATGAAAGAGCCATGATATGTTCCAAGAGGTGTGTGTCCTGCCAGGAGCACAGGGGACCATATGTGCAGGGCACATTGGAATTGCCTGTGTCTGGTGGACTTGTGGGAAGGCGGACCGCAGCCACTAGATTAAACATGAACCCCACAGAGCCTTGCTGGTTCCCATGGACTCAGAAATAGCCCATAAGTCCTAGTAGCCTCAGCTTCAGGTGCTGGCAAGCATCTTCGTGGGAAGGATATAAGAGTGGCCCAGAAGGTAAAGGATGTGATCCTTGAAAACATCAGAGTGGCTTCTCTCCTGTGATTCCAAAGAATGCTGTGTAAATAACAGAGTGACTGGACATAAAGAGAGAGCCCATGGTGGTGGTTTATATAGAAACATAAAACCCATTGCCATCGAGTTAGATTTTAGAAGACACAGCCAATTAGTAATCCATCCTAAATGACAAGTATCTCTGAAATTGAATGTATGCTTTACAGGAGTTTTCAGGGACCCTCCTTGTCACCTGTGTCTCACCATGGACTGGGAGAAGGAGGGTGTTCTGTGGCAGATATCCTAAGTTTTGTGTTGCCCATCAGTTCAGCTTCTTGCAGGGCAGAAAGCAGTATAGGTATCTCCAGTGCTTCTCATCTTGGGGACTTGTACAACCAAGTTCTGGCCTTGAGGATACTGCAAACCAGACACCAGAGAAACATGAGGTTGGATGACCTGTTGCATTTCAAACTCTCGTCTATTTAGCCACTTCCCAGAATCAGAGATTTGTCCCATAGGGTTAAGATATAAAATCCTATGAGCAGTGCCTCCAGGGCAGGAGTTCCAGGACCTGATGGGATCAAGAAGCCTGATTTGATTCTGATGTGGTTTAGCCAGACATATCTTCAATGTTGAGCTTCCAAGCCAGGCAAGCAGGTTCTGGCTTTGTTTCTTTACCCCTCTATGATGACATGGACTTAATATGTGCCTAACTTTAAATACCTCCATTAAATTCAGTGCAACAGTGCTTGCCACGCAGGTCCAATCTGAGAAGATGCCCTGGTTCATTAGGTACCTTTTTCATCTGAGCATCCAAACTTGTGTGTAGTACTCATGAATCATAGTTCCATTTGTTTTGGGGGCTCTTGGCCACAAGGACTGAGGTAGCCATAAAGCTTATGTTTCAGAACAATAGGGAAGCTTCTGGGGAATTTTATGGCCATATAGTTCTCTTGCCTCCTGTATTTGGCTCCATCTCAGAATATCTGTCCACAGGCCCGTTTGGTGCATGCCTCTTAGGAGGCACTGACTTACACCATGGCAGATTCTACATCCTAGTGTCCACATAAATCTTCGGTTCCTTACACATGCACTGCAGAAGTCTACCTGCTTATTTGCCTGACCCAACTCCACTCCATGTGGGCTGTTTTTGGCCTCTCAGGCCTGTGATACTCCAGCTAGGTCTGCTGTTACCTCATCCAGATGAGGAAGAGGCCGCTGTTCCAGGTGGAGGCCCAGCACCCTTCCCTGAGATACAGTGGTTGACAGAGTGGACTCTGGGCCTGATGCGGTAGAAGCAGCAGCAGCAGGAAGACAAATTGTTGCGTCCAACAAGTCCTCTCATGAGCAACAGGCTGGGCAGCTGGAGGGTGTGTCCACATATAGGGCAATCAGTGCTCCAAACTGGTTGGATGATGGTGCAAGCAATTCAGGGGTGTTACTTCATTGAAGATTTATGTAAGATATTCACTTACATGCCACCTCTTAAACTTGACTGTGACCCGTGGCCTTAGTATGTTATGACACAGCAAAGAAGTAGTGACCACCAGGACACTTTAACCTGAGCCTCATGTTCTTGTGTTGCCAGGGAAGGCTGCTCATTCTGTAGAGTGTGTCCATGTGACCACAGCGAGGGGAGCTCATCTCCAGAGTAGCTCCAGATGTGTGGAGCTGGACCTCCAGATGCTCCCGGTTAGAGGGATGCCTCAGCAGAGTCAAAGTCTGATGGCAGGCAATCAGGAGATGGGATGGGGTTCTCTTCCATTCTCTGCCAGGCAACTGAAGACAGGTGTGTTCTCTCCGCAGGCCCGGGCGCAGTCAGCGAGGTAAACAATGGCACGTCGCGGAGGGCTGGCTGCATCTGGCTGTTACCTCTTCTGGTCTTGCACTTACTCCTAAAATTTTGATGTGAGTGTCACTCCCCCCACTGGGGAAAAGCTGCTGCCACTGCAACCACCAACACAACAACACCGACAACACCGACAGCAACAAGCGCATCCCCGTTTTTAAATAAGATGTGATCCAGTGAAATTCAGAGAAACAAAGCCTAAAGGGACATAAATTTGAGGGAGGGGAACAAAGAATACTTTGGGAAACAAAGTTAAAAAGGAAATTGAAAATTGCCTTGCAGATGCTTAGGTACCACTGAGTTTCTTTCTTTCCCCACATGGGAAGAATACACTCCCAGCTTTGGACCCACCCACAAGCTGCATTCTGTGACCTCCTTGTTGCCAGGGTGGGTGAGGGCTCTGCCACTCTGCTCTCTCAAGTGCCCCCACCACGGAAAATTCTGGAGCCTATCATCCCAAATTCAGCCAGTCAGAAGAGATTAACAGATCATATGTGCAGGCCCAAACGTGCCACAGGAGGCCCTTTCCTGGACTGTGCCGTCATTGTGTGTGTTATGAAATGCAAAATTTTAAAAACACAAAGAAAAGGAAATAAAACAAGACAGCCTGACAGCAACAACAATCCCACAAGCAACAATTCTAAAAGATATTGTTAAACTTTTTTTTTCATTTTACTACATGGATGTCATGGATAATAAGGGATTCTGATTCATTATTAATTTTATTAATTATATTTTCTGATATGAGTCTAGAACTTAGTGCAAAAACAAGACAAAACTAAAAAACACAAAAGAAAGGGGTGAAGAGAAGTATGTGTGTTAAACATTAAACATGAATAGTGTACTTCTTATCTAGGTTTACAACTGGTGGACCACAACACCGGGCATTAACCCCCGGGGGAATTGGGCATATCCACCAAAAAATATATATGATTTAACCAACATCTCCACCAGCTCTACAGATTCCTCCTTACTCTGGCATTTAATGCAGACAGTACTATGCTATCTACATACTGTTTAGAAATGGAAAGAGTGATCCACACTGTATCTTGAGTTTGTTGGCTATGCTTCTTTTGATGACATATATTATACAGTATATATATGCATATATTTTTTTTTGTTAGAATTCTAGCCATTTTATTTCTCAGCAGGGTCCTTTCTCAGACATTACTGCATGCTGTATATGGCGTTAGCTGTGTGTTGGTCTTCTAAAAGATGATAGAGTTTACTGGTAATTGTGTAATCAGCTCCTGCCTTTTTATTTTCTTGGGTTATTTACATGTCAGAGACATTTCTAAAAAGTGGGGGGGAAAAAAGAAAAAAGCTAATACAAGGCACAGCATCTCTTTCCAGATGTGGCTCTTGGAGGCAAAGGCCACCATAATTGGCAGCTCCTCCATCATGCCTTAGGCATTAACAAGCACTAAGAAACTGAACAAATAAGCAATCAGTAACCACTTGCTTTAGCCCATTATGGGAATCTCTGCTGCCTTTGTGACCACTGGAGAATTTAATCCTCTTGATTTATTTTATTTAATTTTCCATCTTTGTGTGCGTGTGTATGGAAGAGAAGACCATGCAGTTTTTAGGTAACCGTTTCTTCCTCCCCAGAAGTCTGCGAAACAGACAGGCTCCTGGATGTGATGAGGGAAAGTGGGATTGGGGGAGATGGGAGGGAGGGGTTGTCTCTGACTTGACATTAAAAAGTGTTCCATGTCCCTCTTCACCTTGGTGTGGTACATCATTCTGAAGTGGAGGGTAGGTGTGTGGGGAGGAAGGCCTGCCTAGCTTGGTTTTGAGACCAGGGAAGGGGATGGGCTCTCACCTCAATTGGTTGTTCTTTAGACCCCCTCTTAGGTGGGATTGGGTTCATTCTGTGACATGCTCTGATGACAGACCGGAAGGCCAGGAGACCACCATCGTCCTCCTAGCAGAGGCACAGTGGGGGTGATTTTGATGGGGACTGCATCTCCAACACCCTTGGATGGTGGTGGCTGGCTGAGGCTGGCAAGCTTCCAGTAACCCCTGCCTGAGCTTAAATGCCTTACTTCTTTACCTGGAAGGATGTCAAGTCCCGTTAGGGAAACGGTTTTTAGGTGTAAGCATTTTGGGGTGGAACTATCAAAAAAAAAAAAAAAAAAAAATCCCAAGACCTTGGGTTGATACTGAATAATTCCATCAACCAGTATTTTGGGGATTCTCTCTTTCCTTCATACCTGCCCCCACTGAACCTCCCCTCTAGCTATAAATCAAGAGGAAAGTTAGATTTTAATATCAATTAATGTTCACGTAAGTCCAAGCTGTTCCAAGATTGATTCTGGGAATTAAGTAAGTAGCTGAGAAGCAGACATGAGATCAGAGCTGAGGTGCTTAGGAATCCCTGCTCTGTGTCTTCAAGGGTCAACTGTACCTGAGAGGATTCTGAAGTGTTTGGAAAGAAGCTGTTTTACTTCCAGCTTCTACTAGCAAAGCTGAGAAATGATTGTTGACTTCACATTTTATCTTGCCCTCTGTCCTAATTACCACCCACTACCAGATAACCCAATTTTCCTGGCAGCATGGTTTGGAACAGCCTGAAGCCTCACTGATTTTGGCTGCATTAGTGTTAATTCTTCCTCCGTTATATCCCTGAATTGCTAAAGACAAGAGAGTTTGGTCTCCTTCAGATTAGTGTGGGTGGTGATGTTTCCTGGCTCTCCTACGCCCAGCATCTCTGCACACCCTGACCCAATGATCTGGGTGAGATCATGCCTCCTGTAACAGAGGGACGAGCACAGGCAATGCCCATTTCCTAGACAGGAGCCCAGAGCCATCTGAATAAAATGTACCAAGACACCAGAGGAGGAGAATAGTAGGGTCCTCAGCTTTGTTGGGACAAGAGAACATAGTAGCAGCCAACCTCCACTCAAACCTGAACTTTCTTTTAAATATTTACCAAGCATACTTTAGCCCAATCTATCACTATCCTCCCCAGCCTGATTGGCCAGTTATGGCCAACTTTATAAGGAGGCATTGATGGGTGGGACTCAATTTTACCTATTGGCCAACGTAAGAGTCCGTCTTGTCTTGTGGCTCTTTAATTATCCAAGAGCATTTTTCTTGTAGAATCAGCTTCACCATGACTGATAGATTCACCAGGCACAAAGCCTCCCTATCCTCTCTCAAGAGTGGTTTTATCGCACCTTCTGTTTAGTGGGCCACCTGCACCCCAATCTTCTGTATTTCAGTCTTTAACAGGATCATCTGTGGAGTCCACAAGAAAGGACATTCACCCTACCAGGCCTTCAGCCAGATGTAGAGTTCAACCAAGGAAGACATGGTTTTGATAGGAGCTTATTGAGATAATTCTCAGACCTACCTTTTCTCCTGAAACAGGAGATTGGCAAGAAAGTGTTCATTAGAATGAGTAAAGAAAATTATCCTGAATACTGCCTGTAGTTATCTTGGTACTAGTACTGATGGAAGACCATTCCTGCAGGTTTGCCTAGATGTCAAATGTGCTGTACCCTAGTGTGTCAGAAATAAGTCTCTGTCATACCTTAGGATCCCTCCACCACTACTAGCATTAGAATGTCATTTGGTGTAACCATGATTTAGGGTTGATTTCTGTCCCATAATAGCCCTATAAGACGGGGGTGGGAGGTGGACAGTGGAGAATGCGCAAGCCCTATCAACTCTAACCAAATGCTCCTGTAGAATTCCACTCCTCTTATTTCAACAGAATATGCAACACAAATATGCAGTGACTATTAAGTTTCTCTCGTTAAAATTTTTCCTCATAAATACTTCTACACATGGGTTCAGATGTCTACTTGGAAGCATTTTGAGTAATTATCCAAGGACTGCAAATTGATTTTCCATAAATGTTGGTTATTGCTGCGGGTGATGATGATGACGATGAAGAAGAAGAATGACAGTTACTGTTCTTCAAGCTGGAGATAAATTAGAAAATGAATTAACACTAAAATTGGATTGAAGTTTAGCACATATCTTTGGACTGACCCCATCTTCATCTTCTACTTCCTAAACCATGTGTTTAGAAGGAAGGTAGTAGCACTAGTCAACCAGAGGCATGACCATCTATGAGTAGATTTGTTTGATTAAAAAATGAAAAATGTGAATTCAGCAAAACAGCAATTATCTGTTCTTACAGTGGTAAGAACTTGAGGTCTTTTCACTAGAGGAGAAAAGTGTATGCAAAAGGAGAGATGTGGAAAAATAGATAGTCTCTGCTCATGGTGAGCTCACAGGTCATTGAGCTGCTATTGACCAAATGCATATGCACATGTCAGTCATTCACTCTTCATCAGAAGTGACTTAAAATAAGTGGGGCTAGCGTTATCTGATAGAGGAACTAAATAGTACCTCTTGTCACATTTTTTTCTTTCAAATTTAAACTAAATCCCAGAACTAATTTGGTTCAGAGCCTGCTCATTAGGATTTGTTTGTATTGTAGTATTTCCATATGTCCTCTGCCATCCCATGACTGCTCAATCAAGTCATTCCAAAACATCAATTCTTACCTTTCTCTGTTCTTAATTCAAACGCTATTTCCATGAATCTCCAACTCTATCCCCATCCAAAGCAATAAATGCAAACTAACATTCCTACGATTTTTGAATAACAGATCTCTCGGTCATCATTCAGGTTCCTCTGTCCCCCACAACTCCATACTTCTCCCATTATATCCTTATCATGTGATTAGAACAGCACAGTTGTTTGTACAAGAGATTCCCTAATTCCTAAGCTTGAGTTAAAAATCACTTATTATAATTTATGTCTGGTGCATTATTTATATAGACCAAGTTTGGCTGTAATTTATTGAATGTTGATTTTACTCCAATGCAAGCTGCCAAATAACTTGGATATCTGGTTCTGGCATATCATCAAGGTTATATGAGTTAATTTTTATACTTTAGAGATCTTTAGCCTTAGTTGAAAACTAATTATTATTCTTGATTTGAACTTCCTAGAAACATGAGTCAGCCATGGCTATAGCACTTACCTTGGTTCCAGTGAATATTTGATTTTGGAATTTCTAAATATCTGTGCAGTAATTTGAATACAGCCAAAATTATTAATCAATAAACCTTGATTCCAGTCTGGATTCTATCACACTAGCTACTTGAGGTTCCCTTTCCTTAATTTCTGAATGCTGAAGCTAGAAGATTGCTAACTAGCTTTAGCATTCAGAAATTAAGTGATCTCAGATTTTATAAGATTTCTTCAAGAATAATTTGACAGAGTAGCATTTTTCATAAATGACAATTGAAGATGAGAATCTGGGCTAGTTCACCAACCAATGAATTGTCTTAGTTTCTAGACAGTTCATAAGAAAGGAAAATGCATAATGATAGCCACCATTTCTGCAGATATTTGATGTGACTCTTTAGGGAGAACTTGAGAGATGGACATTGCAGCCCTTAGAAAGGAGCTATGTCTAATACAGACAGTATTTTTTTCTGGAATGGGGAATGATGATAGCCTCAAGCTGCTGTTTAGTCTTGCTGTCTACATGACACAAGTGAAACAAAGAGGACAAACTGCAACACATTGTAAAGTCTGGGAAAGTAAAATATATTGGGATTAGGCAAAAATTTCAGAGTTCTCACTAGCAAAGTGTTTATACTTGTGTGTGTGTGTGTGTGTGCGCGCGCGCGCGCGCACGCGTGTTGTGTGTGCCGTATTTTTTGCAATTAATTAATTCTTCAAAACAGATGCACCTGGTATTCCCAAGAGTCTTTAAAATAATGCAAGATATTAATGAAAAGAGGGTTCTCCAGGTAAGGTTTTCAGTGATGATATCACATGTTCCTGATAAGTGTTTTCTCAAGGGCCCAGGAATCTTTGTGCTGGTTTCATTTGACATATTTGCATATTGTTGATTCAATTTTAAGTCCTCCCCTAGACTCTGTGTTTCATTTGTAAAAGCCTCTATGAAGAGACTGAGGGCTCTTTATCCCAGGGGACTATCCCTAGTCGAGATCTTAAGCTTCAGTTTCTTCTGAAGCTTAACTTTCAAAGTTGATGGAGGGATCAGATGGAGCCATCAAATCATACCCCTCCATTTTGTAAGTTTTTAGACTTGGAAGAATTTTTTTTTTTTTTTCATCCTGGCACAACATAAAGAGCAAACAGCTATGGTTCTTATACTTCTGTATGTTAGCAAAAATGTGGTGAAGGGTCTTCATCAGTTAGTGTTCTCCAGAGAAACAGAATCAAAAGGATGTGTATATATGCATATGCATATATGCGATATGGGCAATTTTAAGAAATTGACTTACACAAATTGTGAGGACTGGCAAGTCTGAAGTTTGTAGGGCAGGCCAGCAGGATAGAATCTCAGGCAAGAGTTGTGACAGCCTTGAGACAGAATTTCTTCTTCTCTGGGAAACTTCAGCTGTTACTCTTAAGGCCTTCAGCTGATTGGATGCAGCCCACCCAATTTACCAAGGGTAATCTCCTTTAACCTAAAGTCAACTGGTTGTGCACGTTAACCATAGCTAAAAAATATCTTCACAGCAGCACCTACAATAGCTTGTGATTAAATAACTGGGTACTATAGCCTAGCCAAGTTGACAACCACCACAAGTCCTTGTCTTCTCTCAGAAGGATGAGAGAGAAAGAGAAAAAAGAAGAAAAGAAATACCTTGTCACTTATCACTGATTCAAGCCAGTGCCATGACTTACTTTTCACCAGTGTCCATAATTCTTCTCACTCAAATT